AGCACCAAAGAAATTGCGATGTAGTGACACTTTAACTCTAAAATTTCAGGGGCGGATTGATGCTATGGCAGCAGAGTGCGTTATAGTGCCATCATCAGAAAACAGAGAAATATACAACAATCTCTCAAACGGATATCTTCTTCTTGCAGTGAATGTTATCGGCTTCCATTAACATGCCGACAGCAGACTAAGTGTTGGATATTGAATCCACTGTTCAGGATTGTAACACTGTTCACCAAGTGCTGGATATTGAATCAACTGTCAGGATGGTAACACTGCTCAGATGACTAACCACAACACAGTGGAGGCAAACCATGGAAGTTCTAAATTTTGGGTTCGTTACCAAGCTAAGTTTCATTTTCTTAATAGGGTAATTATTTACTATTTTACTGTGAATAATTTTTCCTTTCTCGTGTAGGTTTGCTTGAAATGGAGCCCTCTTATCACACCTAGCATCTTGGATGTTATATCTCAGTTCTCCTCTCAGAATAAATCGCCTTTGGAACTGGCTGCTATGGTTGTAGCTATCATAAATCTGATTATAAGCATTGCCAAAATTGTTCGGAAATGTCAAATGGAAAATGTTACCTGGCTGAGAAGGGACAACTGTTTACCAGACATATGTGGGTTCATTGTCTGTGTCATTGTGTTTATCACGGCAACAATTGTTTATGCACGAAATCATTGACATGCAAATAATCCTATATGCATCAGGTAATAATCCTTCACATTTTCTACTTGTTGCCGCTTAATTCTCAGTTAGATTTACACATCTATATTTACTACTATTATGATTTCGATTCATCTCTATTGTGATTTTGGTGACGACCTGAATGGCTGAATGTACCACTTCTTTGTTTTCTAAAAGCATTCTCTTCTGAATTTGCAACGTTTTGGAAAGGGTAAACATTTACAGACATTGGCGTAGTTGAGATCCATATTTTTGGAAATCTGTTTATAAAGGGTACAATACAACTGACATAAACTTGATATCAGTAGGCATAAAGTTGAGCTATGCTACCATTGGACTTTCAGCTTCGTATCTTTCCAAATAATTTGTTTATAAAAAGGGTTGGGCACTGAAAGAAACCAAAACTGTTCTGGAAAAGCTTACCAGATACATAGTATATGCGTATATTTATAGCAGAGTAATTACATTCGGATGAGATCAAAACCTCAAAAAATTTAAGGTTGTTACAGGAGATAAACGTCTAAACATAGATTACAAACATTCAAATATAGGATAGAGCCGTTGGAGATAAACTCGGAAATGCAGCTCACTGGTTTAACGGAAACGTAGCTCACTGGTTTAACGGAAACGCAGCTCACTGACTTGGCTTTGAGTTTTCTTGAATATTTGAATGATCATCATCGTTATCACTAACATTCCCCCGCAAATTGGCAGGAAGATTGCAGATAGCCAGTTTGTCATGAAGGAAGCAAAATCTATCAGCTGTATGCCCTTTGGTGAAAATATCTGCAGGCTGAATAAAAGTCGAAATGTGCTCCAAAATGATGTCTCGGTGTGCGACTTTCTCACGCACAAAATGGTAGTCCACCTCGATATGCTTAGAACGTGCATGAAAAATAGGATTGGAGGCAAGTGCAAGGGCACTAATGTTATCGCACCAGATAACAGGAGATGAATCAAGAGAAATTTGCAGTTCACATAATAGCATACGCAGCCATTACACTTCAGCTGTAACTAGAGCCAGACATCTATATTTAGCCTCAGTGCTTGATTTAGAGACCACTGGTTGTTTCTTCGCCGACCACGAGATAAGATTGGGACCAATCTATCATCGGGATCACCAGCCCAATCTGAGTCATAATATGCGTTAATGGAGAAAGAACCAGGTCTGTAAAAGAGGCCAAAGTCCAGAGTATTTTTCAAGTAACGTAGGACACGCTTGGCTGCTGTCCAATGAGCTGTAGTTGGTGCTTGCATATGTTGGCAAAGTTGATTCACGAAGTAAGCGATATCTGGGTGAGTGAGAGTTACATATTGTAAGGCACCAACTGTGTGACGATATTCTGAAGGATCAAGTAGGGGGTCTCTATCAAATTTGGATAACTTAGTACCCAAAACACATGGGGCACGATAAGGACGTATGCCAATGAGATTGACACGATCCAAGAGTTCAATAATATATCTTGTCTACCGAAGATGTAAACCGGAAGAATCACGGGTAGCTTCAATACCCAAGAAGTATGATAACTGCCCAAGGTCCTTCATCGCAAAGTTCAGTTGAAGATTAGAGATCAGCTCATCAATAAACGACCGAACATTAGATGTCACGAGAATTTCATCCACGTAAACTAGCATGAACGCATGTGTAAAGTCATGGTGATAAGTGAACAAAGAGGGATCAACCTGAGAGCTTACAAATCCAAAAGATAAAAGGGCAGTGGATAAGCGATTAAACGAAGCCCGAGGAGCTTGTTTTAATCCGTAAATAGATTTATGCAACTTACACACAAATTGTAGATTGGTAGGATCTTCAAAACCTTTAGGTTGAGCCATATAAACTTCCTTATCCAAAATTCCATGAAGGAAAGCGTTAGACACATCTAGTTGCCGAATGTCCCAATTAAACAAGACAGTAAGGGAGAGTACCATGCGAACCGTGGAAGGTTTAATAACTGGGCTGAATGCATCAAAGAAATCAATACCATTACGCTGGAGATAACCAACTGCAACTAGTCGTGCTTTGAGTCTTTCAATACTCTCATCTGGTCTGCTTTTGGATTTAAAAACCCACTTACTCGGAACAACATTTTTGTCGGGTGGACAAGGACATAAAGTCCAGGTTTGATTCTTCAACAAAGCTTGGAATTCAGACTCCATAGCTGAATGCCATTCAGGTATAGCGACAACTTGAGCATAGGAACGGGGCTTGGAAATAATCACACTTACATGCAAAGCTCGAAGAGGGTGATATGTTGAGTAATAGAGATGAAAATCAGGGTCTGTGCGGGGCTTAAGATGACCAGTTTGGGATCTAGTGACAACGTGATAGGAAGGGGCTGAATTGGTAGGAGCAGTAGGTGGGGGCTCAAGGATGTTGCTCAGAGAAGAGGAAACATGAGAGGCAATGTCTGGTGGAATGGAGAAGTCATGGTCAGTGGGAATTATAGGAGTAGTGTTGAAGCATTGATAATTTGCTGGAAAATTCAGTTAAGTTAGTTTGTTTTTGAATTAGTTTCTTGGTGCCAAGTAGCAGGTGCATTCCCTTGTTTTCTGCTGAAACGGAAGCTGCTGTAGTTGTGCTATAGTTGTTATTTTTTTGTGACATGATTAGGTATAATCAACTTAGACTAAGGATGTATTAAGTTACCAACTTTGTTTTTGAAATTTAAAAGTCTGAATGGTTGTTGTAGTTGGTAAAACAGTAAGCTTTATTGTATATATATTGCAAGTTCAGTATAATAAAATATAGCAGTTCACCTTCTGCATTTTTCTCCTTTTCTTTCTTAGAGTTCTCCGGCCAAATACCATCACGTAGTATGGGGTGGTGAAATTGAAGAGGAAGGAGAAGATGAGGGAAAAATGTGTGAAGGAGGAGAAGGAAGTAAGGGTAGAGAATTACCTGTTGAGAGAACGCTGCTGCCAGAGTCCATGATAGGAGATTGTACACAAGCAGGGAACACAGCCTCATCAAAGATCACATTTTTGGAAATATACACAAGTCAGGAGGAAGGATCATATCACTGAAATCTTTTCTGATTAGAACAATAACCAATGAAAATGCATGGTGTGCTACGGTAAGAGAGTTTATTAGGCATGTAAGGTCGAAGACACAGAAAGCATTGACACCCAAAGGAACGAAAATAACTAAAATTTGGAGGAAGATGAAATAGACATTCAAAGGGTGAAAAAAAATTGAGAACTTTAGTGGGCAACCGATTAATGATAAAAATGGAAGTTAAGAAAGCATCGACCCAAAATTTCTAGGTAAGCCAAATTGCGCAAGGAGAGTGAGTCCCATTTCGACTATATGACAATGTTTCCTCTCGGCAAGACTGTTTTGTTGAGAGGTATGCAGACAAGATAGCCGATGAAAGATCCCATTATTACTCAGAAATTGTTTAAAAATGGAGGAACAATATTCGCCACCATTGTCACTTTGTAATTGCTTAATGAGATAACTAAATTGCTTTTCTACTAAAATTTTGAATTTGACAAACATAGCATAAACATCAGATTTATTAGAAATGGGATATACCCAACAAAAGCGAGTAAAATCATTAATAAAAATAACATAGTAGAGACAACCACTCAAAGATGGAGTGGAAGTGGACCATACATTGAAATGAATTAATTCTAGAGAATAGTTGACTCTCGTGAGGAATGAGAAAATGGCAATTGCTTAGACTTACCGAGTTGACACGACACACAAATAGACTTTTTATTGAATGAATCACTAACAGGTAGAGAATAATTATGAAGAACATTATGCAAAGTAGACGACGAAGGATGTCCCAAACGACAATGCCAAGTAGCGGTAGAGGCCTTGAGCCCAACAATCATGGAGAAAGCATGAAGTTTAGATGATGACATCTGTTGTAGGTTGATCGGGTACAATCCTCTATCACCGGGCCCTTTCATGAGCGTGTCCCCAGTCTTGAGGTCCTTCACAGAAAAATTGGAACCAGTAAGTTCAAATAACACATTATTGACCTTACAAAATTTATTAATGGAAAGAACATGGGCAGTGGCGTGAGGGAAATAAGCAACGTCATTTAAGGCAAGAGTAGAGGAAGAAGTTTTAATAGTATCAGTATATGAGATTATCAAACCTGCCCCATTACCTAAGCCCATGGTATCAGTGCCTTCATAAGTCTGAGAAGTTGCCAAATTAGCTGCATCAGAAGTAACATGAATATTCACACCACTATCAGTGTACCATTGATGCTGATTAAGGTAGGTGGTATTGGCCTTAGCAACCATAACAAATTCGGTTGGAGGGTGATGTCCCTGAAAAGAATAATTCATGCGATTAAAGCAATCCAGTGCCTGATGTCCCTCTCGTTTGCAGATTTGACATGGAGATCGAGAGCGAGAATCCAGGTGGACCTGAAGAAGGGGACAGCAAGTGAGGTAGGGGTTGCCGAAATGGTGAAGAGTTGGTCCCCGAGCCTTTAAATGCTCCTGTGAAGCGAGACTTATTGTTGTTGTTGTGAGATCCTGGCTTAGACCCAGGTTTGTGGGAGTAGAGAGCAAATGAGCCTGCTTCGGGCTGAATAGATTGATTATGAAATTTTTGCATTAGATCATAATTCAGCAACTCTGCATGAAAATCCGAAAATGGCATAGATTTCTCCTCAGCAAGGAGCATAAACGTTGTGACAAAAGAATGAAAGGAAGAGTTGAGGCCATTGAGAATAGATAGAATTAAATCTGAATCATCAATGGGTTTCCCAACAGCAGCTAATTCATCAGCAAGAGACTTAACTTCATCGAAGAAACTTTGGCAAGACATAGAGCCTTGCTGTAAAGATTGTAACTTTCTCTTGATAAGAGAAATACGAGAGGTTGAGGGCGCCGCAAAACGTGTGCCAAGAGCTTGCCAAGCAAGCCGAGAAGTCTCAAGGCCATAAATAGTGGAAACCACCGCCGGAGACAAGGAAGAAACAATCCAGCCAAGTACCGTTTGGTCCTTATACTACCAAACCACATAAGCAGAGTTAAGAATACCTTCGGCCTTTTGTTCATCACTGGAAAATTGAGGAGGACACGGTGCGGAACCATCAACGATTCCCATGAGACCATAGCTGCGAAACAAAGGAACCAATTGAGCACTCTAAGCAAGGAAGTTAGTTCCATCAAGTTTGATGAAGATAACTTGAGCTGGAAGATGAAATGCAGTGGAAGAGGATGAAGAATTTGGATTAGCAGCCATAGGATCGATTGTAGCGTTAGCTATGGAAAAGTCTGATGCCATGAAAGAAACCAAAACTGTTTTGGAAAAGCTTACCAGATACAGAGTATATGCGTATATTTATAGCAGAGTAATTACATTCGGATGAGATCAAAACTTCAGAAAATTTAAGGTTGTTACAAGAGATAAACGTCTAAACATAGATCACAAACATTCAAATATAGGATAGAGCCTTTGGAGATAAACTCCGAAATGCAGCTCACTGGTTTAACGGAAACGCAGCTCACTGACTTGGCTTTGAGTTTTCTTGAATATTTGAATGATCATCATCGTTATCACTAACAGGCACAACTGATATCAAACTCAATCACTTGATATAAATTTAAGCTATGTTTGGTTTTATGAACAACTCAAGAACAGAGTAAGAAAGAAAAAAATCAAACCAAAAAACAGAGTAAGTTGAAACTTTTCTGGAAAAAATGAGAGACTCTTCTTTTTCCCAAAAGACACAACTCTTTACACTTTATAGGAAAGTTTGTTACAATCCTTGTCAACTTTAAATCTCAATCGGTCATTAGAATAACAAACAAACACAAAACTTTCTATTTGAACCCTTCGAATCAGTGGGAATCTTTTTCTGTTACAGCTCACACTTCCTGAGTTGACAAAGAAGAAGCTCACGTGGAACTGTTACAGCTCTCACTTCCTGAGTTGATGAAGAAGAAGCTCACGTGAAACATGTTGGCTGAGATGAAAAATTAGTAAAAACGACACAAAGAATGTCGTTTCTTGCTTGATTCTTTTGAGGCTTGCATGCATGTTAACATCATCTCTCAAGCCAAAGAAAGAACTCAAGAAAAAAAACTTCTCTAGTAAACAAAAAACAAAAAAAAAAAAAAAAAAGAACCGACGATATTACAGACCTCAAGATTGGTGACTTTAAGTCAGCTCAACCTCATCAGTAAGATTTCGTCCCTCAGATCAAAAAACCATTGTTTGAATCTCAAGGTTAAAATTTTCAATCAGTAGTTTCAGACTTTTAGTTTCAGTACCTTAATTTTGCCCAAGATAGAAAGTTTAGTTGACTTCTAAGCAAAATGTTGGATTTGGTTGACTTACGTTCCACGCATGAGCATGAAATGTTCATTAGTTCAGGGTTTTTGTGATATGAAATGAATTTTATCAGCAATTAATAGTTCAAAAATAGTGTCAGAAATCTGTAGCTTTAACTTCTCCAAAGAGCTGTAAGACTTTGACTTTTTCTTTGCTTGATTTTGTTAGGTCATAGTGGGGAAAGAAATTATAGTGATTTGTCAATTGGGTGGTGAGTTTGTGACTGAAAAGGATGGCACATTGTCATTTAAGGGTGGCGATGCTTGTGCCATCAATATTGATGACCAAATGAGGTTTAATGAGTCCAATGTGGAAGTAGCATAAATGTTTAGCTGTTATGTAAATACAATTTCTCTGAAGTACTTCCTCCCAAGTAACAGAAAAAACTCTTATTACAATCGCCAACGACAAGGACTTAACGAGGATGATAAAGTTTCACGGAGATTTTACCACTGCTGAAATTTATATCATCATGGAAGAAATTGTTGAGCTGATGTCTCAAACATGCCCGCTAGTAGGTAGTTTTCTCAATGTCTAAGCTGACAATTTGTTTTTGTATTTTGGAATAGTTGTTCTAACTTTGGTTATTCTTGAGTGTACAGATCAAGCAGAAGAACTCTTTCGGAAGCAGTGCCTCCAGTTGATGCACCCCTTGATGTTGTGGAAGACATTGTGGATAATACTAATAATCCAGACATCCCACTTGATGCATCACTTGACGTTGTAGTCGATACCCACCATATTGATGTGAATCTTGATGATACATAGATCAAGCTCCCAGCTGAAATCTCGCCCATTCTTCGTCATGTTAATTCCAACGATGAGAAGCATGCGAAAGCTGCCCATCAGTGGCAGAATACTATCACAGGTGTTGGCCAAAGATTCAACACTGCTCATGAGTTTCGCAAACTGCTGCGTAAATATGCTATTGCGCATCTGTTTGCTTTTAGGTATAAAAAGAATGAAGACATCGTGTGTTTGTCAAATGTAAAGCCGAAGGTTGTCCTTGGAGAATTTATTCATCAAGATTAGAAGCTACTCAACTAATGTGTATCAAGAAGATGAATCCAACACATACATGTGAAAGTGTCGCTGTGACAATGGGGCATCAAGCAACTAGGAGTTGGGTGGCGAGTATGATTAAGGAGAAGTTGAAAGATTTCCCCAACTACAAGCCCAAGGATATTGTCAATGATATGAAAGAGGAACATGGAATCCAGCTTAATTACTCTCAGGCCTGGCGTGCGAAAGAAATAGCAAAGGAGCAGCTTCACGGCTACAAAGAAGCATATAATCAATTACCCTTTTTCTGTGAGAAGATAATGGAGACCAATCCGGGTAGTTTAGCCACCTTCACTACTATGAAAGACTAAAGTTTCCATCATCTGTTTGTCTCATTGTATGCCTCGTTGTATGGCTTTCTACAAGGTTGCCGACCTCTCCTTTTTCTTCGTAGAATACATTTAATGTCAAAATATCAATTTGGAATGTTGGCTGCCACAGCCGCGGATGAGAATGATGGAGTTTTTCCTTATTGGATAAGCGTGAGCACCTATGATGGATTAAGCCAAATGACGTGTGAAGTGTAAAAAATCTGGTTGGTAACTACTGCCTATATATAAGTAAAGATTTTTTTCTTTAACTATTTTCAGAGAGAGAGTGTGTATATTTTTTTTTCTAAAAGAAAAAGCTTTACAGGTCGATTTGACCACTAACCCGTTTGGTCATATAGGTCGAGGTTGATCGGGTTTGACCATTACCAGGTTTGACTAACCCGTTCGATGTTCTGGGTCAAACCACGGGTCAACTTGACCCATTTTATTTTGGTTTTTGGGTGGGGCCGGAGATGAATATATAGGGTTTGTAAGTATGGCTAACACAAATCAAAACGTAGCCCAATGGTTAGAGAGTTGAGCTTTATTCTGGAGACCTGGGTTTAAGTCTCACCACCCACATTGGTTTTCATTTTTTTTTTTTTATTAAAAGGAGTAAAACAAATGACAAGTCGTTTATAAGGCTAAAATTAAAACGACTTGTCGGTCTTTGTCATCTTTTACCTTTGTTCGGGTCTGTAACTTGATACCCGACCTGGAAAACAACCCATACAAAGCCCGAAACTTTAAAAAGGCATAACTAAGGCATTTTAACTCCATTTTTTTATAATTCAACAGCCATTTTCTTCATAATTTCATAAGGAATCTAATAATCTAATTATCATTACCAAAAAGACAACTTTTTACGCACAAAAAATGAAATTTCAGAACTGCATCTAAGTAACATGCAACATGCTTTAACATAATAGTACGAAATTAAAAACAATGTAAACCACGGCTCTGATACCACTTCTACTTAACTCTGAAGCAAAAGTTGAACATGGAGAGAAAACTATCGTAGATTTTTTTTTTTTTTAACTATTTTCATAGATGTATATTTTTTTTTCTAAAAGAAAAAACTTTACTTATATATGGGCGGCAGTTACCAAGCAGATTTTTTAGGCGAAAACAACTTCACACGTCATTTGGGTTAATCCATCATGGGTGCTCACCCTTATCCAATATCTCCCACTCACACATGATGGGACTATGTCTCTCTCTGTGCTTATTTAAGGTTCATACTTTAGTAAATATGCCGTGTGACCATGCACACTTCGAGAGCACATTAGTCATATATCTGTTAAGAATATATAACTTCTCGAATTGTGAAACTTAGGTTGTATGTTATATGCAATACCCTAAATTACTTATCACATTTTTTTCTAACAATCTCATTTATAATAAATATTAGTTGTATTCATAATTATGTTCTGTCTTTACATAAAAGTAAAACATAATAGGTTGACCAATGAATACACATGATTATAGTGTGATAACTCAAAATCGTAATCTTTATCTTTTCTCTATTCTTGCAACTTTCATTTAGCTTGCTTTTCTAGAAATGTCCCAGCAGATTGAATTTATCTTAATCTTTTGGTAACACTCTAAGATAGCAATCATTAAATGAGGTTTTCAAGAAACAGAATAGAGTAATAAGGGTATTCTATGAGATTTTATTCTTAAAATCTCAAGGTCTCACACAATGTTAAAGTTGAGATTTTGACTTTCATTATCCCTTTGGTGAATGTTTTGCACATGTGGTATGAATCACATGCTACAACATTTCCTCCTTTCCCATGGAGTGCATTTCTCTTTTCTTATAAATGTTGTACAAATTTTAGTTTAGACATACCTAATGTCTAACTTGAGTTCACTTTACATACTTTTAATTCATCAGAACTCTAATATGGCAATTAGACAGATAAAGTGATCATTTATCACTTATCCACATTTCATTATGACATTATTTTAATTCTATTTTTTAGGCGACGTTAAACATTTTAAGCTTGACTCTCTATTATCACCTAGATAATAAGCTTAAAATCGTCTCATCTCCATTCTACGAAGTAATAAAGATGATTGCCTGTGTGAGAAGACCAATCTTTTAACTGTCTGACATGTTTTTAACATGCAACAATGCTACAGACACCGGTGTTTTTACACCAAAATTTTGTACCGGCTTACATGTCTGCTGACTCAGACCATTCAACGTGTTTTACGTTAATAATTTTTTTCTAATGAACGGCCGTCCATAACGTTCATCAACATGGACTCCCGTCCATATTATATGGACGGGAGTCCATTTACCACGGACGGGCGTCCTCATTTAAAGGACGCCCATCCATTGGTAAATGAAATAAAAAATATTTAAAAATTTAGGGATGGCCGTCCATGAGGAATGGATGCCTGTCCATTAACTATGGACGGTCGTCCATACTATTCTTTTTTTTTCTTTCTAAAAACTAGTAAGGAAGTATGAAGATCGCGTGGAAACTTTTCCAACCAAGGATCCTACTATAGCATTCTCCAGTTAGG